CGACTCGATGGCACATAACAACAGAAGCACTGCCCTGTAGGGTTGCAATGAGTCGGAATAGGCTTCTCCCTCATGGCTTTAGTTTGGGTTTGGTGGCCCAAGAGGTACGTGAGAACGCCGCCTGTGTGATGGGAAATTCTGCCTCATCTACATAAAGGGTGGAGCCAAATGATGGTCAATTTGCATAGGGGCAAGCTAATTGGCGCTGCGCTCCAACCATCTGCAAAGCTGTGGACCAGGGTCCGCCCCCTGCGTCTGCCTGGGGGCGGAGCCTGGCTCCTAAGGCCCTGATCCTCCTCCTCCTCCTCCTTGTTTCTCAAGTATTACATGTCTGCGCGCCACATGGCCCTGGCCAAGGCCTTTCCGGATCACTTCACCTACGAGCCCCACGAGGCCGATGCCGTGAGTGGACCCAGGGTCTGGTGGGCTGGGGTGAGAGGGGGTGCCCCTCCTGGACTTGAGAGGCCTGGGGGGGGGGCGGGCACTGGATTCCTAGGCAGGGGTTGGGGGGCTCTTGTCCCGCTCTGCGATGTGTGCCCACACCCCTATACGCAGGCCCAAGGCTACCGCTACCCGCGGCCGGCGTCAGTGCCACCTTCCCCCTCGCTGTCACGACACTCGAGCCCACACCAGAGCGAAGACGAGGAGGAACCCCGGGGGGAGGACGGCGAACGCTACGACGAGGACGAGGAGGCCGCCAAAGACAGGCGCAACATCCGCGCCCCGGAGTGGCCGCGCCGCGCCTCCTGTACCTCATCCACCAGCGGGAGCAAGCGCGGTTCGGTGGACACCGGGCCTTCGAGCTCCCTCAGCAGCCCCAGCGAGCCCCTCAGCCCCGCCAGCTCCCTGGGGGAGGAGCGCAACTAGCTCCGCCCCCCCAAGTGCTGCGGCCCTCAAGCCTTCCAACCCCGACCTGGGGTGTGGGCGCAGAAGGGTATGGTTCCCAAGCCTTCCTCCGGGCCCCCAACCTTCTGTGGGATCCAGAGCCGCACCCCACACACACTCCAGCCCCTCCGGCTCTGTGCTAGGAGTCCCTGCACCCCAGAATTTACAACGCTGTGCCTTTCTCGGGGTCCGGAATGCACACTCTGTGCTCCGGAGCCCCTCAGGCCTGGCCCAGGTCCCAGAAGCCAGGAATCTGCCATTACTCTGTGGTGCCAGAGGTTTTAGGAAACCTGGTCTGTTGCCTTCCAGACTGGGCCTTCTAAAGCCCTTTGTGTCTTGCATATCCTAGACTAGAGAGTGTTCCCCGCCATCAACTGGCCTGGGGTCCACCAAGCACAGTGTTCCTGCTGATGGGACAATCAAGTCCAGAGCCCAGGTCCTTTCAGGGACTTAAGGTAATGGAACGAAGCCTTCCATTTCACCCGGGAACCTGGGCGCTC